AAGAGCATTCTCTCTGTAATGATGGCTGCAGAATCAAAAGCTGCCACCTCGTTCCTGCTTTTCCCTAGCTGCCATGAACCCTCACTGCCCTACACTGTCCTTATCTGATAGTGCCACTTGGTGGCTTGCTGAGAGAACTGTGACACAGCATCGTGACCTGTGCCTTTCTCTTGGGTATCTTGGGTAGGATGAGAAGGAAAGGAAAATGAGAAGATACCTGGCCTTCATTATCACCTGCTATTGATAGCAATTATTCATGTCTCAGAAAACCTATGTCTGCTCTTCTTCCTCTGTCCCTCTTTATTCTGTTCATGGCACAGTGCAGCTTTAATGATTTTGTTTCTGTGTCAGGATGAGGGAAAGTCATACTTCTTGAAGTGAAAACAAATTTCTGATATGAGTTCACAAAACACCTGACAACGTTTCAGGGCCTACTCTAGGTACTGGCGTAATCAGAGCTGTCCTAAAAACCCCCAAATCTTCAAAGTCTCTCGAAAGTCCCGTCAGTATCTGCACCGAAACCTCATTTTTCCAAGCCAGTTTTGAATTAAAATGGCCTTTTAGAAAAGCATTTGCTTTCCAAATAAACAAATGACGTCATTGGGGGTATTTCAGCAGGATAAATTTGTTAGTTGGAAGCATACAGCGTTTTTTGTTTGTTTGTTTGTTTGTTTGTTGTTTTCTTTCTTAAGTTAGGCCCCCTGTTGTGAGTTAGCCTGAGAGTCTATCCACAGCTCATATTCTTTCTGGGGAAAACTTACCTGAATTCATGAACACCATTATAAAGGACAGACTGCTTACACACACAGCTCTCGCCCATTTATTTCCAAAAAGATTGGCTGAGCCCACCGCTTGTTCCCCAGCTCGCTCAGAGGAACCCAAAGCTTTATCATGACCTGTCACTCTTCCTGTGCTTCCCATACAAGACTGGAACAGCGAAGCAGGCAGCAGACTCTCAGTGGACAGAATGGAGTCTGTGAGAAGTGTATGTTAAGGGTCAGCTAACGATCCACTCACGGTTGGGCGTCATTCCCAGATACCCGCCTCCCCGGTAGTTTTTCATAACCTCTTCCTGTTTTCTGAAGAGGATATAGAAAAATCTAAACCGTTGCAACACAGGTTTCAGGAACTTCTTCTAACGATGCAATACAAATGTACGGCCCGGGGAATGAAGTGGCGGCCACAGACAGGCCCGGCTGCTCTCGCCAAGCGTAAGCGTTCCGCTCCGTGCTAACGCTCCCGTTCTAAACACTGCAACTCGTTCTCTTTTGAACGCCGCTTCCTTCACCAGTGGCATTGGCCAGCTGTGTCTACACCAGTGAGAGATGAGCATGCGAAGCAGGTGTGCCAGCCTAGCTGGTGGTGTGAGCCAACTTTCCCGGCTCATCCAGTGGGCTGGGTCAACGCTGTGTCTGGTCCCCAAAGTTAAGAAACATGCTGCAGGCAGACAGGGCATCACCTCGTGATCCTGGGCATCACTTGGTTCTACTTTGCCCTTTGTGTAACTACTCAACAAGGGTCATCTGTTCCCTCTGCTCCTCCACACAGAGAGACTACGGTGCGGTAGTTAGGAGCATGGGTGGAGAAGCCGGGCTTTCTGGGTTTGAGGCTCCACTCTGTCACCTAAGAGGCTTGAAATCTGAAGCGTCCAGGTGATTCTCCAGTCTCCATTTCCCATCTTGTCATAGAATCGTTGGCATTACGGATGCATGTCTCCACATCAGCCTTTGGGGTAAAAAGTGGGGCCCGGGATAGAGCCCAGGTCATCAGGCTTATGTGGATAGCCACTTTTATCCCTGTCCCTGGCCTCCTCTTCCTTCCTACACAGAGAGCCTCATTAGTAAAAGGGAAGAAAAAGAAATCAAGGAAATGGTGAGGAATGAGTAGACATTCATTTCCTTTTTAGCAAAAGTGTCAACCAATGTGTAACGGGCAGAAGGGTCACCGGAGGTGAGACTCTGTCTCCCTACAGTTTCCAGATATTCCAGCGTCTTCTCACGATGAAGCCACATCCACGGTACTTGATTTTTGAGGAAAGGTTCTGATTTTCACCATTGGGCCTTACCGTTCCAGAAAGACTGAGAAGGAGAGATCGTAACCCAGGGAAAGTGAAACTCATACACAGTTCTTCCCAGGTGTCCTAGCAGGTGACACCTGGACAACCCTTCCTTCCCGCCCCCTCACCACCCACAAGAGGCGCTTTAGAGCTGTGAGCAGTGCCTTTGAACGCAGCGTGGGAGGGTCACACACACTGACTTGGGTGAGGTGGGTGCCGCTGTGTCTCCTCTTTGTAGGAGTGAGCAAGGTAAGCTCCAGTGCACTTGAGACTGTCTGATTTTTTTTTTTTTTTACTATATTAATTGAAATTTCCTTTGGAAATTGTGATTGCGTCTGCACATATGTGCGTGTGCATGCTCAGTGTGTGAGTACAAGTGTGCGTGTGTGCGTGCATGCACACGTGTGAAGGCCAGAGGACAGCCTCAGGTTCCATCCTTCAGGCACTTCCTATCTTCTGTTTGAGATAGTGTTTCTCACCGGCCTGGAACTTCACCAACTAGACTAGAAGAGCTGAGAGCGAGCTTATAGGGATCAACATGTCTCCACCTCCCACCTTGCCATTGCCAGGATTACAAGTGTGTGCCACAACATCTGACTTTTTACATGGATTCTGGGGATTTGAACTCAGGTCCTCACAACTTGGCAACAAGCACTTTCGAAACAGAGTCATCTCCCCATTTTGCTCTCAATTCTGCTCTGGTTCTTAGAGCAGCAGTATTTCTAAGGCAAGAGGAAAGACATGAGGGAAGAAGCAAGCCGAATCAGGAATAGCAAAGGGCCTTCATGGAAGCTTGGGAAATGCATAAATAGGAAAATGGCAGTGCTTCATTGTTATTATTATTATTATTTTAGCACTTCCTGTTTTTAAGACCCGAATTACCCAATGACCGATGCCCAGTTCTGTGGCAAGTCCAAAATAGCAGAACCCCAGCATGACAGCGTCTTTGCCTGGCACATCTTGCATGAATGAAGGGTTCTTGGTATCAGTTGAAGTAGCATGCATTCAGGTGAAGTAGGCATTTCAATCTTTCCGTCTTGAGTCATCTGAAGCATGTTCTAGAATAGTGTCTGTGTAGGCCTGTCATTGTGAGCCGCCACGTCGTTGCTGGGAATTGAACTCGGGACCTCTGGAAGAGCAGACAGTGCTCTTAACCGCTGAACCATCCCTCCAGTCCTGCATGCCGGTCATTGTGAATTAGTGCTTCTGCCTGGTGTTATAGCTGTCACACTGGTCAAAGGTGCAGAGCTTCGATCTTACAGGGTACACTTGGGCAAGATCCCCAAGTGACCAGAGCATCAACTTCTTCATCTGTCAGATGGTGTCAGGGCAAAGCTTTAAGGGGGTATATTCCGTCACCTCTGCTGATTAATGTCAAGTAAACACAAGAGCTTTTAAAAGAGATGCTTAGAATTCTCATCCTAGAGGCCAAGGGAATGAGGTCAGAGCAAGCACAGGTCAGCAATGGCCCAGGTCATTTTGACAAGGATCTTCAGTCTTTAGCACACTAATTCTTCACCAAAGGTTATGGATGATTAAGTTAGAGTCAAAGACACAAATGCATGATTCAGTGGTAGCCTGGAATCCTTGACATCCATACAGCATAAGGAGAATATATCTGGAGGCATAATTCAACCTTGATGCTCATGAAATCCTAAGTTGCCTTTTCTCCTTCCTGTAGCTAAAGTAAAAGGCAGAGTTATTCAGCCCTCCCCTGACCCTGCAGACAGGTTAGTTAATGTCTCTTGGCTGCAAAACAGCACCAGTTCCACTATAGTTTCAAAAAGAGGGTTTTGAGAGAAACTAAAATGACAAAGAAAAGCCAGAGCTCATCACTCCATGATTACTATTCTACAATCCACAGTCTAATAATCCCTGCCCCCCC